ATAGATATATCTGTCTATATCTACATCTATTTATCTGTATATGTATATCTATGTCTCTAGATACATATAACGAGAGGCGGGGTCTCACTATGTTGTCCAGGCTGGTCTGGAACTCCTGGCCTCAAGTGGTCTGCTCACCTTGGCCTCCCAAATTGCTGGGATCACAGGCATGAGCCACTGTGTCCAGCCTTGAAGCCCATTTCTTTATGTCCCACTTTGCGTGTGTGTGTGTGCGTGCGCGTGTGTGCATGTGTGTGTATTTAAACATTTCTAAAGTGGCTTTCCAGCCAGGCATAATGGTTCATGCCTGTAGTCCCAGCTACTTGGAAGGTGAGGTGGGAAGACCGCTTGAGCCCAGCAGGTTGAGGCTGCAGTGAGCCAAGAGTGTGTCACTGCAGTCTAGCCTATACAACAGAGTGAGACCCTGTCTCAAAAAATAACAATAAAGGGCTTTCCCTTTGCTGAGAGCATATACCATCAGATGTCAGGGTGGAAGGAGCGGAAGCAGGTCCCTCAGGGCATGTTATGAAACTCCTCTGTGGCACGTGCTGTCTTTGCCAAGCAGGGTTCCATGTCACCCTATGGAACTCTGAAGAGATGCACGAGTTTAAGAGGATGTGGGTGTCTGACCTTCAGAGTGATGCAAAAACCAAGTCATCATTTTCCTCAGAAGTCTAATGTGGTATCTCTGACCACAGAGCGAAATGACCATCTAGGAGCAGATGACAGTGGACGAGGTCAGGATTCCAAAGTTCCGTTTTCCATAAATCCAGGTGTCTGTCTTGAAAATGACTGTAGGAAACATGGCTAGACAGGGGCCCAGGGGACAGGGAGGCTGCGGGAGTGATGTGGACCTTCCTCCTTCGTGGAATTTGGGTGGGCTCCCCCAGTGGGGGCTGGGCCACATTTCATGTGAAGCATGGAAATCCTTGTGGGCTACCACCCATGTTTTACATCTCCAGGTCTTGGCAGCCCCAAATGTGGCTTCACCCCAGAGATTGGGCTCTCAGCCTCCGGTCCAGTCCCAGAGGCAAGCCGAGTGGGTCTCCCCACTCCCTCCAAAGACAAGGCAACTGGTGTCCGAGTCATCCTCTGAGTGTAAACCCATTTCCTAAGCAAAAGCCCCTCCATCATGGAAAACCATCCACGAGCCATGGTACTCCCCAGGCTGCCTGTGGGACCCAGGAAGTCCTGCATGAAGTCAGGAGTGGAGCTTGTTGGGGGCCCGCTACTTATCAACTCCTGTGCTCCCGCCTGGGCGACAGAGTGAGACTCTGTCTCGAAAATAAATAAGTAAATAAGTAAGTAAATAAATAAATAACCTGATCCTGTCTTTATCCAGACTTTAAAAAATCTCTTGCTCATGATGACTTGTCTGTATTAATTTGTATTTTTAAAAACACTGCACTAAAATATTATTTATGTTGAGTACTTTTTTTTTTTTTTTTTTTTTGACACCCTTCGTTAAATTTTGCACACACAGCCTCACCCTAGTCCCTGGCCTGAGCCACATCCGCTTTCCCCAGGTCTCCCATTTTATTTTGAGACAGGGGCTCACTGTCACCTAGGCTGGAGTTCAGTGGCATGATCATGGCTCACTGTAGCCTCAACTCACTGGGCTCAAGTGATCCTCCTGCCTCAGCTTCCCAAGTAGCTGGGACTACTGGCATGTACCACCGCGACTAGCTTTTTTTTTTAAATTGTAGAGATAGGGTCTCCCTATGTTGCTCAGGCTGGTTTCCAACTCCTGGTCTCAAGCGATCCTCCTGCCTCGGCCTCCCAAAGTGCTGGGATTACAGGCTCGAGCCACCACTCCAGGTCCTGGATACTTTTAATTTTGCAGCTGGAGAAGGGGACACAAGGGGAAGGAGGATTTGTTGAAATTAAAGCGCACTGCGAGAAAGAATGGGTCACTAGCATCCTCCTTTTGCCTGCGCGGGGGGCCCCTGGCAGCACCCCCTCCCTCGCCAAGCCCAGCCTCTGCACAGGCTCCAGGAGACGCTGCTCCGGGGTCCTGCGGTGGACACCGGGCTGCACCCCCGTCGGTCGCACTTGGAGCAGGTTCGGGTTCTGGGGCTGGGGAAGCATAAACCCGGGCTCCAAACCCTCCTGTAAGGCTCTTCAGGGCGCCAGCTCCGCAGAGGCAGGAGCCGCCGCACACGTGCGCGCCCCAAACTGCCAAAGCCCACTCGCGAGCTTGACCGCCGCGCCCGGGGGCCGCTCCCCACGAGCTGACCTGGCTGACCCAGCGCCGCCGCGGCGCCTGCAAAGGGCGGCCGCATCCTGTGGCCCCGGGGCGGCCCTCCTCGTCACGGGGCGGACGTCCCCGCCGTCAGCTCCTCTGCCCTCGGTCGGGAGGGCGCTCCCCCGCTGCACTACCGGGCGAGCTGGGCAGACCCCCATCCTCCCACCTAGGGGCTCCTCGTTCTGCTCCCTCGTCTCCCTCTGCTCTCCGGCCGCTTCTCCTCGCCCTCATCTCTGGGACAATTGTTTCAGCCCTGGAGTGTGTCCGAGCACGAGCACCTTCTCCTCCTCCCTGTTCCCCATATTTAAAAAAAATGAAAAAAAGCCCTCCTTCAGCGCGGTCTGTGGGTCTCGCTCACTCCGCAGAGGCTGTGCCCGCGGGAGATTTCCGCTGGAGCCTGGGAGGGAAGGCGTCTGCAATGAGCCGTGATTGGTGCCACTGCAGCGCCCAGGGCTCCTGGCGGACAGAGCAAGACCCTGTCTCAATGCAATTCCACATCCATCCATCCATTCCCAATCCTAGGCCGGGGCTCTGCTGGTTCGTCAACTACCTCGCGGAGTCGCAACTTACTGGCACAGGTAATGGGACCCAAGGCACAAGAGTAAAAAATTCAGATTACTGCAGACCTCTGGATTCGGGAAGGTCTAGAGTGGTGTGTCGGAGGGAGAGTGACCGCGCCCCAGAAATCATGTATAACTGACAAGCAGATGAGATCTCTAATGAGAACACTGGGCTTAGATTCAGTCACGGACCGTCTTGGCTTTGAGCCCTGGAGGTTGAGGTTGCAGGGTGCTTGTCGATCGTGACCCGTGCACTCCAGCCTCAGGCGGCAGAGCTTGCATGGACCTCTGTCTCAAAAAAAAAAAAAAAAAAAAGAAGAGGAAAAGGCTGGGCACGGGACTGCACCGCCTGTACATTCCAGCACTTGTTGGGAAGCGAAGCCGACGAGATCACGAGGTCATGTGATGGACATGAGGTCGGGTCTCGTCCTGGCATCACTATGGGTGTGAAGACTCGAGTCTCTTACTAAAAATGCAAAAATTAAGCCAGGCGTGGGGTGCACACGCCTGTGAGTCCCAGCTACTCAGGAGCTGAAACAGGTGAATTCTCTGAACACTGAGAGGCAGAGGTTGCAGTGAGCCAAGATCAGGCCACTGGCACTCCAGCCTGGATGACACAGCAAGACTCTGTTCAAAAAAGAAAAAAAGAAATAAAAAAAAAAGAAATAATGAGAAAAGAAAAAAAGAGGAAAAAAAATCCCTTCCTTCCAAGGATCACTGCCTGAAATTCCTTCCCTTCGCTCTCAAACTGCTCTCTAAGCTTTGTCCAGGCTGGCTGACCTGCCGTCATCAAAACCCTCCAAGTACTCCTTCTAAATCAAGGGAATTTTTGTGTTTCTGTAATTTCGAACTTAAAGACATTGCAAGAATATGACCAAGAACTCCTACAAACCCTGTGCCTAGTTTCTCCATGGGGGTGCGTTTTGCCACACTGGCTTTATCACTGTCTCCAAATAGATAAGGATTTTTTTCTAAACCATTTATGCAAGTAAATTGCGGAGGTCATGTCTCCTATCTCTAAATACTTGGTCATGTCTTTACTGAGGACAAGGACATTCATGGCACAGTTAGCAAAAGAAAAAGACTTTTAAGGATCCCCAGTGACCTCTGAGCAGCCCAACTCAAGGGCCTTTCTGCTCCTTGGTCTCTGGGTCTCTGTCCCCCTGTCTCTGTCTGTGTCTCTGTCTCTCTGTCTCTGTCCCTCTGTCTCCCCTGATTCTCCCCTTCCATGGGCGCCTCTCTGCCTGCCCCTGTGAGGTGGGTTTCTCCAGGTCTTGTTTTCCGTGTTGTTTTACAGCCCCTCCCTGGAGCAGGCCGGGGACCCCAGGATATCAGCTGTCATCCACGCTCAAGCAGCATCAGATCTTCAGCCTCAGCCCCCTTCCCCTTTCTACCTGAATTTCCATGCCTTTCCAGGAAGCTCTGCTTGAATTCCTCACAGTTCTACTCGTTGTAAACCGGAAATGGTCCAGGTACATTGTCCCTGTACCCCCAACATCCCCGGCCCTGCCCAGGGGCTCTCCAAGAGGGAAGCCTCCCTCACCTCTCAATCCTGCGCCCCCACATGGCCCCCATGCTGCACTCTCCTCCTTCCTGACCTCACCCACCTCCTCCATTTCCTCAAAGGCCCCCTGCTTCAGTTCCCAACCTCACTGGCTTCCGGTTAGCTGGTCCCGCACCTGCCTGGTCTCTGCACCGCCGCGGGATGAGTTGGCTTTCTGATACGAACAGGCCCTCTCGGTTGAAATCACTGTCCCGAGGTCCTTCCACTGGGTTCTGGAGAGCTGTTCTTGGGTCTCTGAAAATGTGTTCAAATGTCGGGGGAGGGGGAGTCTTTCTGGGCAAAGGATTATCCCTTCATCAAAATTTTATTTATTTATTTATTTAGTTAGTTAGTTAGTTAGTTATTTTTTGAGACGCAGTCTCGCTCTGTCGCCCAGGCTGGAGTGCAGTGGTGCAATCTAGGCTCACTGCAACCTCCGCCTCCCGGGTTCACGCCATTCTCCTGCCTCAGCCTCCCCAGTAGCTGGGACTACAGGTGCCCGCAGCCTCACCCGCGTTTTTGTATTTTTAGTCCAGACGGGGTTTCACCGTGTTAGCCAGGATGGTCTCGATCTCCTGACGTCGTGATCTGCCTGCCTTGGCCTCCCAAAGTGCTGAGATTACAGGCGTGAGCCACCGCGCCGGGCCCAAAATTTCATTTTTTGATTTTTTATTGTTTAATTTTTTTTATTTCCATAGGTTATTGGGGAACAGGTGGTGTTTGGTTATATAAGTTATTTGTGATTTGTGAGATTCTGGCGCAGAATTTGTGACATCTCCCCTAGAAAGAAAGAAAAGAAGCAACAGGCTTGGGTATTAAGTTTAAATTCCATATGCGATCCGAGACCGTTTCCTTTCAGCTCCGTCCAGCTTTCCCAGAGCAGTTACCGATGCTTCCTGCAGCAGCCAGTATTTCCCAAACTTACTGGTCATGGGAATAACCCAAGGCACTGGATGGATAAAATGAAAATTCAGATGCCTTGACCCCACCTCTGTGGACTGTGATTCCGGAAGTCTGAGCGGTGGTGTGGGGTAGGGGTGAGGGTGCCCCAGTTACCTGTATAATTGACAAGCGCAGGAGTCTGCAGAGAAACTGGGCTGGGATCGGTCACGGACTGTCCTGCCATCAGGCTTTCGCAGACAATGAGGTTCCCTTTTTCTGGAATTTGCGCTCACTCTACCCGCTCCATGGATAAATTCTTCCTTGTCCTTCAGTGTCCTAATCAGCACCCTGGCCAAATTTCTGTGTCAAAGAATTTCTGTGTCAAGAAATAGGCCAAATTTTAAACTTTTGATGGATGCTGGCAAATTGTCTTCCAAAATGTCTACCATGTCTACCGGTTTACACTTCCACCTTTTTGCTTTACTAAAACTTTTTTTCTCTATTACAAAAATGTTGCATATTAAATAGAGACAGTTTAGAGAATACAGATATGCAAACAAAGGGAATGTGGCCAGGTGCGGTGGCTCACGCCTGTAATCCCAGCATTTTGGGAGACCGAGGCAGGCGGATCGCCTGAGGTCAGGAGTTCAAGACTAGCCTGACCAACATGGTGAAACCCCCGTCTCTACTAAAAATATAAAAATTAGCCTGGTGTGGTGGCGTGTGCCTGTAGTCCCAGCTCCTCGGGAGGCTGAGGCAGGAGAATCGCTTGAACCCGGGAGGTGGAGGTAGCAGTGAGCCGAGATTGCACCACTGCACTTCAGCCTGGGCAACAGAGTGAGATTCCATCTCAAGAAATAAAAGAAAAGAAACTAAAGGGAATGTGAGGAGCCTACAGTCCCAGCAAACAGTTTTGTAACCCTCAGGTGAATTCTTCCCATATTTTGTCTCTGCAGATGCACTTGGAAGTTTGACTTCAACTTGAGTCCCAGATTCACCTCTTACTAACTCCGTGGCCTTGGCCAAGTAGCTTAATGTTTCTGAGTGTCTGTTTTCTCATCTATAAACTGAAGATGACGGTAGTATCGCATCAAAGGCTGTCACAGGATGCGTGGCATTTAGCCAGTGCCTGGCATGTGACACTCTCAGGGCACTCTCCTATGACATTGTTTGCACCTTGCTTTCTTACTCCAGCAATACATCCAAACATCTTCCTTTTGTAGCAAGGGGACACTTCTAACCCCAGTCTTTTATAGGAACCTTGTGTCTATAGCTCCAATCCTAGACCATCAATACCACCAGTGGTGTTTTGTTGGTGTCAAATTTTCACCTGGTCCCACTCAGCCTAGCTACAACTTCCTCCTCCCCCACCTGCCTGCCCCCATCTTAGTCACCTCATCTGTTCTCTGAGGTCCCCAGATAGAAGCCACCAGAACATCTTCCTCTCCCTCCACAGTTAACTGGGTTTCAAGCAATTCTGTTATTTCACTCTAAAGGGACAGAATGGAGTCAGACAGACCTCCCTTTTTGTGCTGACCCTGTTACTTACACAGTGTGTGACGGTGAGCAGCTATCTCTCTTCCCTGAGCCTCAGTTTCTTCATCTGTAAGATGGAGCGATAGCAGACCTGTCACGTGGGGCTGCGGCTCTGATGGCGAAATGAGACGGCTCTCGTGAGTGTGCAGCACCGTGTGATCACAGGGTCAAGTGCTCCACACACACAACTGCAATTGTACCACTGCTGTGTGACCCCCGTCTCACTCGCTGCAGCCCTGGCTGTCATTCCAGCCCTGTTTGCAGCACTGACGTGACCTCCTAACCTGTCCCCACCTTCGATCTTTCCCAGGACAAATTTCAGTGTGTCACCAGGATGACTTTCCCAAGGCATATCTGGAGCAGGTCACTCTCTGCTCAAGACTTAGAGGGCTCACAGTCCCTACCATTGAACACCTGGAGGTGTCCCAGCCCCAGTATGGCTTCCACAGGCCCCGTGGCTCTGGATACAGAGTCCGTTTCCAGCCTGGGACAGAGCTGTGCTCAGATCTTCCCACCCCTCTCTGTGAGTGCCCGCCACCTGCAGGGAGACTGTTTCTCATTATCCCAGCAGCGCCCCGCCGGGCTCAGACATCCCTCCTGGAGTTTGCATTTCCGGGTCCCCTCCGGGTCTGGCTCCCCTGAGCAAATACTTGGTGCACTGTCCACTGCCCACGCATCCTGCTCCACAGGGCTCTGTCTCCACCATGGCCCTGCAGCCTCTTGAGAGCAGATGCCCGTTCTGTTCACTTTTGCATCCTCTCTGCACCCCCAGCTTCCCTCTGCAGGCTTGAAATGCTTGTTCACTCTCCTGCTAATAAATAACATTTTTCTTGAATTTAGATGTATAAAAGTTGATCCACGGGCCAAAGGGTTTACATAGATCATTTACCTTTCCTGTGACTTATTCCAAGATGCCGAGGACAAAGAATTTTAAAAACTGCAATGCCCATCACTGGAACTGATGTAGCCATAGATGCCTCTGACACATGTGTTAGGAAACACACCTATATTGAATGTCACATGCCTCTTTTGTGATTGTGAGATGCGCATCAAACACATATACATGGTTCTTATCTATGGAAAGGCAGGAGAGGAACCACAACAGTGCGTGCCCTCTCTCCCTCGGGGGCAGGAGAATCGTGCCCTAGCACACGCAGAGGGCGGGGCTCAAACGTGCACGCTTGCCTTTCTTTCCTAAAACCACACATCAAGCCTATTTGTTTAGTCCTGTTCTGAAAGATGATGCAACATGACTCGAAAGGAAGTGGGTAGCTGCCTTGCTGCGGCGAGGTAAGGAATGTCACGTCGCTCAAATGTGCTTCGCATTCCCAGAAATATGCCGCAGCTGAAAGGGAGGAGGATGACTCAGTGTTCCCCTAACTTTCGACACATCCACCACAGAGCCTGACCAGCACTAAAGAGGGCAAGCCGGCGGAAAGTCCAGCCAGGGCGAGTTGCCAACACCGCACTCCCCGCCTCCCCGGGAGGCTGCTACGGCATTTGGGGTGCAGAGCCCAACCGAGTCAACCTGGTGTGCTTTTTTTTTTCAAGCTGGAATAACAGGGTCGTAGGTCCACGTTGTGTTCACGTGTTCTTAGGCGGCAGATGTCTGTTGAGGGGTACTTAGGGGAGGAAACGAGGGTGGAGGTGGCCTGTCCAAACTCTGCGAGTTTTCCAGCTGTGGTTCTGATCATTTGCTTTGCACAAGTGGGGGTCTTTGTCCTTAGAACAGCATCTTTTAATAACACTCCTCCCTTCTTTTTTTTTTTTTTTTTTTTGAGATCGAGTTTCACTCTTGTTGCCCAGGCTGAAGTGCAGTGGCATGATCTCGGCTCACCGCAACCTCCACCTCCTGGGTTCAAGTGATTCTCCTGCCTCAGCCTTCCTGAGTAACTGGGATGTTCCAGAGAGTTCCACCTCTTCCTCCCCAGGCAGAGCAGCCTGGTACCTCCACACCCCGCCAAGAGTCGATCTCAGCATTTCCCAAACTCACTGTCGCTGGAACGATCTCTGCTCCAGACTCAAAGCTTTTTGGGGATGTGGCAACTAAACTGGTAAAGAGACCTGCTCCCTGCGCCGCCTGCCTGGGTGCTGGGTGCTGGATGCTGGGTGCTGGGTGCAGAAAGCCCTTGCAGGTGATGGCGAGGCAGTGGAGTGGAGCACCCGAGGCGCCCGGCTCAGGAGCTGCACAGCCCTGGGCTGGCTCCAGCTCCCCATTTTCTGGGAGTGAGAGTCGGAGGCTGGGATGCAGAGTCTCTCCCTCCAGGCTTCACTCTCTGCATCTGAAGACCAGGAATGATAACAGCACCTGCCTCAGGGGTGGTCAGGACAAAATAACTGCATGGTTTTGTGAAGTACCTAGAAGGGTGCTGGATGCCATGATTCTTTTTTTTTTTTTTTTTTTTTTAAGACGGAGTCTTGCTCTGTTGGCCCAGCTGGAATGCAGTAGCGTGATCTCAGCTCACTGCCTCCGCCTCCCAGGTTCACGCCATTCTCCTGCCTCAGCCTTCCGAGCACCTGGGACTACAGGCTCTCACCACCACGCCTGGCTAATTTTTGTATTTTTAGTAGAGAAGGGGGTTTCACCATGTTGGCCAGGTTGGTCTCGAACCCCTGACCTTGTGATCCGCCCACTTCAGCCTCCCAGAGTGCTGGGATTACAGGCATGAGCCACTACGCCTGGCCTCATGATTCTTAATAAATGAATTAACACCAAGGTTGCCTCCCTGGGGAATGTTCACTACTAGGTGGTGCCTTCACATGTGGGGTTTGTCATCTCATGGCTTCATGGGCTTGAGTCTTGCCCCACGGTGTCTCTAAGGGTTAAATCCGTGACCTCCACCAAAACTGAGCATGAGATACTCACTGAGTTCAGCAAAGAGCAGAGACCAGAGTCAAGTTAAGAGGAAGAGACTCAGAAGGCACCGGAAGGAACGTCGATGTTATCAGAAAACCATATTCCACATAAATCCTCCTATTTACCAAATGAAAGATTCAGATGACAGGGGAGGGGCCACTTGCAGACCCTTTCCCACATCTCCCAGCAGAGTGTCCATCCTAACGGGGAAATCAACGTTAAGAAATGACATTGGCTGGGCGCGGTGCCTCACACTTGTAATCCCAGCACTTTGGGAGGCGGAGGTGGGCAGATTCTTGAGCCTGGGGGGTTTGAGACCAGTCTGAGCAGTAAAGTTAAATCCCATCTGTACAAAAAATATAAAAATTAGCTGGGTGTGGTGGTGTGCACCTGCAGTCTTGGCTACCGAGGAGGCTGAGGTGGGGGAACCACTTGAGCCCAGGAGGTCAAGGCTGCGTTGAGCCGTGACGGCACCTACACTCCAGCCTGGGTGACAGACCCAGGTGAAGAACTTGTCTCAAATAAAAAATAAAAAATAAGAGAGAGAAAGGATAAAAAAGATATTTTTCACCCTCTAACCTGAGAATTCTTCCAGATACAACTGAGATAGAGTCCACCCCCAAATTCCTCCGCCACCCAGGGCACGCGGCAGTCAGGACTGGAGAGGCTCCCCTCAGCGGAGGCTTTGGCCAAACATGAAACTTGCATTCTTTTTTCTTTCTTCTTTCTTTTCTTCTCTTTTTCCTTTTTTTCTTCCCCAGATAGAGACAGGGATTCACCATGTTGCTCAGGCTGGTTGCCAACTTCTGGACTCAAGGGAACCGCCCACCTTGGCCTCCCAAAGTGTTAGAATTACAGGCATGGGCTACTGTGCCCAGCCCCAAAGCTTGCATTCTCCCCGGCCTTCGAGTATCTTTCGCCTCTGGAGCCATTGCAGACATCCAAGCAGCTGCTCACCTCTGGCCAGGCTTCCGCGGCCTATGGCCAATGTGGATGCACAGACCCTTGCCCTCAGAGGGGCCCGCCCAGGGGGTTTAATTCTCTGCAATTGCCCTCTTGGACTTCTTTTTTTCTGAGACGGAGTGTTGCTCTGTCACCCAGGCTGGAGGCCAGTGGTGCGATCTCAGCTCACTGCAACCTCTGCCTCCTGGGTTCAAACGATTATCCTGCCTCAGCCTCCCGAGTAGCTGGGATCACAGGCGCATGCCACCATGCCCAGCTAATTTCTGTATTTTAGTAGAGATAGGGTTTCACCATGTTGTGTAGGCTGGTCTCGAACTCCTGACCTCAGGTGATTTGCCCACCTCGGCCTCCCAAAGTGCTGTAATTACAGGTGCGAGCCACGCACCCGGCCCCTCTTGGACTTCTTAATACTTTCCTTTCTGACTTTGTGGTTTGTAAATGAAGTCCAGTGGGATGAGGGATCTGGTGGCAGTGGGGCAGGGGCTGGGGGGATCAAGAACATTTAGGGTTTCAGGGTTAGGACTCAGGCGCCCTGCCCCAGGGCACCTGAGTCTGTGAGACTCCCAGAGATGTCTTTGAGGACCCGCCGCTCCCGGCCCCCCACCCCGTCCCAGGGAGCACACCATTCAATCGCAAAGAAAAACCACCATGACAGGCGAAGGGAGGACAGGAAAAAGCTTTTCTCCAGCTTTTGGAACCAGGAGTCCCATATTGTCCGGTTGCGTGGGGCTTGGCAGTGACGTCACTGGCTCTGCCTTTGGCCCCAACACATCCTCCAGTGTGTGTCTCTCACCTGCACGGTCTCTCCAGGCCGATGCGTTGGGATCCTGACTTTTAGAGTTTTGTGTGTGACAAAGCAGAGGACAAGCTTCCCCATCACCCAGAGGCCACTTGGTGGAGGGAGCCAGGGGACTCACTGGCTTCTTGGGCTTTTGTAGTCATGGGCTGGCCACCGAAGCCCAAGGCCAACTGTCACCTACTCCAAGTCTTGACATCCTCACCTGCAAAAAGCAATGAGGCAACATGATTTTTAAGATGTTTTCTGGCTCTACAAATATCTGACGACTCCGAGTACACGATAAGGCTCACTTTCTGCTCAGGAAAACCCGGTGCTGGAGAGAACACAGGATCCCCCAGTTTCCTAACACCAGCCTGGGGAAACGATGTTCATTTGGCAATGAAAATTTCTAGGGCCAGGGGTGGTGACTCACACCTAGAATCCCAACACCTCGAGAGGCCGAGGTGGGAGGATTGCTTGAGGCCAGGAGTTCAAGACCAGCCTGGGCAACATAGTGGGACTCCATCTCTACAAAAAGTAAAAATAAGCCAGGCACGATGGTGTGTGCTTGTAGTCCCAGTTACGCAGGAGGCTGAGGTGGGAGCATTGCTTGAGCCCGGGAGATTGAGGCCGCAGTGAGTAGTGATCGTGCCGCTACACTGCAGCCTGGGTGACAGAGTAAGACCCTATCTCAAAAAAAGAGAGAAAATTTTAGCATTGATGGCAGTGGAAAACAATGCAAAGGTCCCTATGTTTTGAGGTGCATCCTATGATCCAGATTTATCTTAGGAGAAATTTCATAGCATCTCAGATCCTAGGCTTGGTGGACAATGAGAGGGGAGGTTAATAAATATTCCGTCTGCCATTGGGAGGGTAGATTAAAGAAGCTAATATATAAATCAGAAATATTTATAACTAATAAATCCTATCAAAACCCTCACTGTGACAATGGGCCATAATTTTTGTTCTCTTTTAAAACTGCTATTATCAATCAGGCACTGTGGCTCACGCCTGTAATCCCAGCACTTTGGGAGGGCGGGGCGGGTGGATCACCTGAGGTCAGGAGTTCAAGACCAGCCTGGCCAACATGGCGAAACCCCGTCTCTACTAAAAATACAGAAATTAGCTGGATGTGGAGGTGAGCGCCTGTAATCCCAGCTCCCTGGGAGGCTGAGGCAGGAGAATCGTTTGAACCCGGGAGGCGGAGGTTGCAGTGAGCCAAGATCACACTACTGTACTCCAGCCTGGGTGACAAGAGTGAAATTCCATCTCAAAAACAGCAAAAAACAAAAAAACAAAAACTGCTATCATTGGGGGATAAATGGAAAACACGAGATGTAATTCATTGTTGCGTCCTGCGTTAGCTAACACCTTGTTGACGCAGAGCCCACCTCGAGCTGACAGCTACACGAGGTTCATGCACACTGTTTTTTTTATTTTATTTTATTTTGAGACGGAGTCTGGCTCTTATTGCCCAGGTTGGAGTGCAGTGGCACGATCTCGGCTCACTGCAACCTTCACCTCCCGGGTTCAAGTGATTCTCCTGTCTCAGCCTCTTGAGCGGCTGGGATTGCAGGCACGAAACTCCAAGCCCAACTAATTTTTGTATTTTTAGTAGAGATGGGGTTTCACCATGTGGGTCAGGCTTGTCTTGAACTCCTAGGTTCAAGTGGTCTGCCTGCCTCGGCCTCCCAAAGTGCCGGGATTATAGGCATGAGCCACCATGCCCAGCCTCACGCACACTGGCTCTTACGTTAACATTCTGCCAGAGACCACGGAAACATGTTTAGAAAAGAAAGTTACAGATTGGCAGCAGAAGTCTCTGCTTCTGGATCATTATGTTAAGTCTAAAGACAATCAGAAAAGAAACCCTGCTCTGTGTCCCGGTCATTGTAGAAGTCCCCAGCATGGAGCTCTTCGGATGGCACTACAATCCTATGGCCTCCAGGCAAATCCTTTTCTGAACTGAAAATGTGGTCTTTGGCCACTCCAAACCAACTCACCAAGCCTGGGGAATACAACCCACTTATATGTCCAAGACCTTCCTCTCATCCCAAGTTTATGCCAATTTCCACCCATCGTCAAAATGTCCTAAACTTACTTTCCTTTTTTTTTCTTTTCAGTTGGTAGAGACAGGGTCTCCTTCTGTTGCCCAGGCTGATATCAAACTCCTGAGCTCAAGGGATCCTCCCGCCTCAGCTTTCCAAAGTGCTGGCATTTCAGGCATGAGTTACCGGGCCTAGCCTTACTTTACTTTTCTAAGAAACAGTATTATGACCTCATTAGTCAATAATACTTACCCACAGGGGAGGTACCACGATCACGAAGGTGGTTTCCCAGGGCGAGGCTCACGCCCTGCACTCCGGATGGGCTGACCCCGGCCATTTCTCCAAATGTGGGAAACGCAACTGCATTATTTGTGGTAGTTAGGGACTGCAATTCACTCTCTCCCCTGGTTCTAAATAAATCTATATTTTTTTTAAAAAAAGAATTGATTGGTTGGCCATGGTGGCTCACGCCTGCAATCCTAGCACTTTGGGAAGCCAAGGCAGGTGGATCAGAAGGTCAGGAGTTCCACACTAGCCTGGCCAATATGGTGAAACCCCAATTCTACTAAAAATACAAAAAATTAGCCTGGCGTGGTGGTGGGCACCTGTAATCCCAGTTACTCGGGAGGCTGAGGCGGAAAAATCGGCTTGAACCCAGGAGTCGGAGGTTGCAGTGAGCCGAGATCGCCACACGACAGAGTGAGACTCTGTCTCAAAAAAAAAAAAAAAAAAAGAATTGATCGATAGTTTTAAAATTGTGAATATAAACTTAGTAAACACACAAGACCGGCAATGATGTTTAGTTGTGAGATTTCAACATCGTGATGCATATTTTCCATATTTCAGACGTCTTATTTGTGTTTTGGAAAAGGATTCTGATGAAATTGAGGGTGTCAGCATTTGCCTCTGGTGCCCTCCAGTCGGATGAACGATCCTTCATGGTAAGGGTGTGACAGAGGCTGCTTTGTCTTGTTGCATACCAGGGCCTGATGCTCTGAGACAACTCACTGGGCCCCACTGGGCAGAACTGTCTTTTAGGGTAGAGAAGAGTTGGGATTTCAGAAATTCTCTTGCTTCAGAATGTCGGCTGGGCATGGTGGCTCACGCCTTGTAATCCCAGCACTTTGGGAGGCTGAGGTGGGCGGATTGCCTAAGCTCAGGAATTCGCGACCAACCTGGGCAACACCCACCCACCTCTACTAAAATACAAAAAAATTAGCTGGGCTTGGCGGTGTGGGCCTGAAATCCCAGCTACTCGGGAGGCCAAGGCAGGAGAATCACTTGAATCTCAGAGGCAGAGGTTGCAGTGAACCGAGATCGCTTCACTGCACTCCAGCCTGGGCAATAAGAGGGAGACTCTGTCTCAAAACAAACAAACAGACAGACAAAAACAGTGCCAGGTGCAGTGGTTCAAGCCTGTAATCCCAACACTTTGGGAGGCCGAGGCAGGCGGATTACGAGGTCAGGAGATGGAGACCATCTTGGCTGACACGGTGAAACCCCATCTCTACTAAAAAATACACAAAATTAGCCGGGCGTGTGGCGAGCGCCTGTAATCCCAGCTACTCGAATGGCTGAGGCAGGAGAATCGCTTGAACCCGGGATGCAAAGTTTGCAGTGAGCTGAGATCACGCCACTGCACTCCAGCCTGGGTGACAGAGCGAGACTCCATGTCAAAAAAAAAAAAAAAAAATAGCCATGAAGATATTTCCTCTTTTAATCTGAGGGTTTGGTCAGAGGTCCAAGATACCTTGACAGGAAGACAGAAGACAGAAGCTTCGACTTCAACCCTCAGGAACTTTCTCTAATTGTACAGTAGGTGCAGGAATCTGGAGGCAAATGTTTGTTGGAGAGCAAGAAGCCACTTTCTTCTCATCAAAGATGTGATTGGAAAAGATCCCAGGGTTTGCTTGGTTGAGAAGGAGCTTGCCAATTCCGGGATCAAAACTTCTCCCACTTTTCCCATCTTCTCACATTGTGGAAAAATAACTAAACCTTTGTGTCTATTGGTTTTCCCAAGTGCAAGGTCATAAAAATTATTTTAACTCATTTTATAGAACTGTTGCAAGGAAAACATCACCATGAGAACCACGTGAGAAGCTCTTTACTCTTAGCTAAAAGTCTCAGGAATGCTTCAGATTGCCAAGCCCCAGGGGAAATGGTTGTGCAAAGTTTCAGCCCCCAGGCCAATCACCTGATTAGGATCTACTATCAGCGCATTCATAAGTGTCATATTTGGGGGCTCTTGTGAAATAAAAGCAAGAGGAAACCAGACCAGTGTGTCTTCATGCCAAAGCCAGAACTTTCTATAGGGTGGGGCTGAATGAGGAAGCCAAATCCTTCTCTCCCCTTCCTTGGCTCACATCAGCAAGTATTTTTATTTGGTTTCATATACATTTTCTTTCTTCCCTTGGTCATGAATCAGAACATTTTATAGCTAAGAGGAGTTTTAGGGGTATTCTAGTTGCTTCTCATTTTATAGACAGAGCAGGTCCTGGAGTCAAGTGGTACCTGGGTTTCCTGATTGAGACGCTGGTTCAAAGAGTCACTGAGGCCAGGCGAGGCAACTCATGCCTGTAATCCCAGCACTTTGGGAGGCCAAAGTGGGCGGATCACCTGAGGTCAGAAGTTCGAGACCAGCCTGGCGAAACCCCGTCTCTACTAAAAATGCAAAAATTAGCCAAGTGTTGTAGTGCACACCTATAATCCCAGCTACGCAGGAGACCGAGACAGGAGAATGGCTTGAATCTGGGAAGCGGAGCTTGTAGTGAACTGAGACTGCACCACTACACTGTAGCCGGGGCAACAGAGTGAGACCCTGTCTCAAAAAAACAAAACAAAAACAAAGAACAAAGAGTCGCTGAGCTCCACCGAAGCGCAGTCCTGAACCTCTCTGATAGTCGTTGCACATCAGTCAGTTGACTGATGTTCCCTTGACTAGAGTCTAAAAGCCCTCTGGACTTCTAACCCCACATTTCGGGCTGAGTCAGCTGCCTTCTAAACTCCTTCTAGCACAGAACAGCTGGTCACTGTGCCCGGTCATGTGGCCCCTGATTCCTGATGATGAGAGGATCGACTTCACCGGTGGTCAAGGTAGGAGCAGGGCCACCAGGTTGCCTGGGGCTGAGTCCTGCCTCTTTAGAATACCAGCCCTGTGACCTGGGCGGGTTACTAAACTTCTTTGTGCCTCAGTTTCCTCATCTGTAAGATGAGGGTAATAATAAGCGATAATAGTTCCTGTCTCATAGGGTTGTTTGGAGGTTAAATGTGTTAGTTCACGTAAAAGTACCTAAAACTGTCTGGCACAGACAACACACTCAAGAATGGCTATTTATCTTTCATCTCTGCACACATCTGTCAAAGCACGGGGCAGAGCACCCTTGACAGGACCTCACCAGGACCTTATGCAGGCAGAGGACACGCTGTCTTCTGAGTCAGGTCTTTCCATTTTTGGATGGCTCTGACTAAGAGAATTCCTCCTGTGTTCCGCCAAAATCCACCTCCCACTCATCGGTTCCAGCTCTGCCAGAAGGCAAATGTCAAAAAAATAATCTTGAAAGAGAAGACATAGAATGTAAATAATAATGATAGAATCGGGTTGAGGAACGACAGCCACCCCTGCAGCAGCGCCTCCGACAACTCTCAGCCCAGAGTCGAGCCCAGGCTGCAAAGACCTTTGAGTTCCATTTGAAAAATACCAAGCTCTTACTTCTCCGCTTCCTTTAGAAATGCATAAAACAGCTTCTCTCATCGTTCTTTTCATACGTGCTGCCAGACTGGTATGAGATTGGGGGGAAAAGTCACTCTGCTTATGCAAAGGTGACAGTCACAAGGGTTGTGGAGTGGTGACCTCGCCTGGCTCACTACGTGCCATCCAGCCTGAATCACTGCGCATGGGAGTGGGGGGTGCTGGCCAGGCGCACGTCCCACCTCCTGTTTACAGAGCCTTTCTGACGTCACATGTAAAATCACAACCTGTGAGTCCCTTTCCTGCCATCCCCGGCGTGGTTATTTGACACTGGGGCATGTTCTTGTTATAAGAAAAATGCAGAGAACAAGGTGCATTTGATAGCTTAGCTCTCTGAATATTTCAAGTCTATATCAATTAAACCTTAGGCCTCCTGCGTCAGCTGCTTGGGGCCAGGAAGGAGTGAATGGGTCCCACGGCACTCAGGTGCAAGAATTGTCGCATGATGTTTCTAAATCAAAGGTCATCTGGCTTTGGTGTCCTGCAGAACAAGGTGGGTGGCAATGTCAGCCACTATAAGGTAGCTTTGTCCCTCCAACTCTTCATCCAAGAGACTGGAACAGAGGAAGGGGCCTCGTTTCTAGGGCACGGCGGCCGCCTCCATTTCCCTGGCTTCTTGGCTGAGCACCGTGTCGTCGTGGGCCCTGGGGAATCCCAGAGCATTTCCAGAGTTCTCCAAGGACCTGACCCCAGAAGACCCAGATGTCCCCCTCAAAGTCGAGCAGCCTTACGGGCATCTGCAGCCCCCACCCTTCCCAGCAAGGCTGCTGTGTGCAGTGGGGCCTTCATTCCATTCCCAGTGTCCGCTCCCCAAACCCCTGCACACAAGCTCTCAGCCAGACCTGCCCTCTGCCACCTCGCCAGGGGACAGTCCCATTAATCTTCCACCAGAGGCCTAAAATAAAAAAGCTTCTTACCTCCCTGACCCCAAGGAGTATTTATAAGAAGCTGAGACCTTTTGAAATCACCCCGAGGGAGAGGGAGGGATGGGGAAAGGAAAGGCTCCGCATTTCTCAGAGGCCGGGGCAGGGCAGGGCCACAGCAAAGAAACAAAACACCCAGGATTCTGTTCAGGGATTCTCTGTACCTTCATCCAGTGACTGCGTTCCATTCAAATTAGCGAAGACTGTCAAGACACTGGGAAGTCCATGTTATTATTCCACCTTTGGGTTCCGGTGACAATCAAGATCACCCTGGTCCGGGCATGGTGGCTCACGCCTGTAGTCTCGACACTTTAGGAGACTGAGGTAGGAGGATTGTTTGAACTCAGGAGTTCAAGACCAGCCTGGGTAACATGGCAAAACTCCCATCTCTACTAAAGATGCAAAAAATGAGCCGGGTCAGGTGGTGCGTGCCTGTGGTCCAAGCTACTCAGGAGGCTGAGATGAGAGGATCACTCGAGTCTGGGAGGTGGAGGTTGCAGTGAGCAGGGGTGGTGCCACAGCACTCATTTGGGGCAACATAGCGAGACCCCGACTCAGGGAAAAAAAAAAAGTTTACCCTGAGCATAACTTCCAGGCAGGCCAGTTCCACAGGATCAAGGGACATCCCATGAAGTCAGCACTCCTGACCCCGGGGCACAGCCTGGCCCATCACCCCGGACACTCCGTCCTCTAATACTGGGCTGAGGCAGGGCAGCCTCAGATCTTCACAGCTCAGAAAGAAATAACTGATTTGATTGAGACACATTTTGTGTTTCTTGCATTTTAAATGTTAGGTAGTGCCTATGGGAAGTCCTCCTCCCTGTCCTTCATTCCTTGATCTCAGGTAACTGAAAAAACTGGAGTCCCCCACAGGCTCTTGATCACCACGAGGGCCTGTCGGGTCCCCCAGGAACTCCTGCTCTCTGACCCTGCAAACCCCTACCTCCCGGGGCCTCTGGGCGCAGCAGGGTCGGGCTCACCTTCCCGCTCCTCTGGCCCCTTTGCTCCAGGGTCCTTTCTCCTCCCCACTCTCCGCACACACACATCCAAAGGTTCTGACCTTGGCCCTCCTCCCCTGACTCGCCACCGCTTTTAGTTTACTGAGGGCCTGAACTCCTTCCTGAATCAACAAGGGATGCTGACTCACCGTGTGGAGGGCCGTCCTGAGCACCCGACCCTCTCTCCACCGCACAGCCCTTTCCGACCTGTCCCAGCTGCATGTTCACCAAGCTCGTTCCAGGGGCGCCTCCAGATACCCTCTCCATTCCCAAGTCACAGAAGGCTCCTGGGAGACACAGGGTCCGGTCCTCCCACCATCATAGACTCAAGCTGCTGGTGTTGGCCAATCCTTTCATTTACCTTCCATTTTCCACCTAGCAAAATCCCCCAGCTCCTATTATGGTTGGTCTTCTGCGTGACTTCCGAGGCCGCTGTCCACTGTCCTCCTCAGAAAACGACGCGCAGGACCCAGCAACGGAGCCCTCAGACAGCACGGGCCCTGAGCCTGCTCCATTCAGCTCAACATAGTGCTGCTTCTCCATCGTCTTTTTTTACTTCCAGTCTGGGGAAGGCCAAGATCACTTCCTCTCCTACAGGCTCTTCGGACCCTTTGGTTTTTTTTTTTTTTTTTTTTCTGAGACCAAGTTTCGCTCTTGTTGTCCAGGCTGGAATGTGATGGCACGATCTCGGCTCACTGCAACCTCCACCTCCTGGGTTCAATTGATTCTCCTGCCTCAGCCTCCCAAGTAGCTGGGATTTCAGGCATGCACCACCCACCCCCAGCTAATTTTGTATTTTTAGTAGAGACAGAGTTTCACCATGTTGGTCAGGCTGGCCTCAAACTCCTGACCTCAGGTGATCTACCCGCCTCAGCCTCCCAAAGTACTGAGATTATAGGCGTGAGCCACCGCGCCCGGCCAGACCCTTTGCTTAATCTCAGCTGGACCACTGATGAGCTGTGTGGCCTCAGTCTCTCTGAGCCTGAGATTCTACACCTGCAAAGGGGGAACATCCCACAATAAGAACCCAGAAATCATCACACAAAGTGTGCAGCACTGAGCCTTGTGCAGAGAAGTGTTTAATCCATGGGAGCTGTAATGATGATTGTGATGGTGATGAACTTTCCCTGATAACCCATGGATCAATCCCGAAGGTCTCTCCTTTCCCTCCGTGACATGGACACTTGCAGGCAGGCAGAGTGTGGCCACACCAGTTGTGGCACTGCCCGCACTCCAACACCGTTACACACATGAGATCAAGTTGAGCTGTTTCCACCTCCTGCGGTTGAAAACGCATTCTTCCCTTCTTGGTGTCCACAAACTCCCTATTACTTGACTCTTCCAATTGTTCGTGGTGTGCAGAATGGCAGAGCTTGGGAAGATGATGGCCCTAGCTCTAAATGCTCTGCCCGTCTTCCCCACACCTGTTTCTGTGCCCTCCCACTGCTGGAGAGATTGCTGGGATTTCCTTGAGTATCTACTGTGTGCCAGGCACTATGCTAGATGGTGATGATGAAGATGAAGGAGGAGGAAGAGGAAGAATGAGGAGAAGGGAAGGAGGAGAAGGGGAGGAGGAAAGTGGGGGAGAGGGCCCTGAGCACTTTCTTTTTTTTTGAGATGGAGTCTCACTCTTGTCGCCCAGGCTGGAGTGCAGTGGTAATCTCGGCTCACTGCAACCTCTGCCTCCTGAGTTCAAGCAATTCTCCTGCCTCACCCTCCCAAGTAGCTGGGACTACAGGTGCATGCCACCATGCCTGGCTAATATTTATATTTTTTGTAGAGACAGGGTTTTGCCATGTTGGCCAGGCTGTTCTCAAACTCCTGACCTCAAGTGATCCGCCCTCCTTGGCCTCCCAAAGTGCTGGGATTACAGGCGTGAGCCACCGTGCCCAGCCTACTGAGCACTTTCTATGTGCCCGGCACTGTCCTGAGCGCTTTACATATAAGGACTCATTGGATTCTCATAACAGACCCGTTTGCCTCAGAAAACTCCAGATCGGGTTCAGCCACCATTCTCGTTTTACAGCTGCACAGACAGGCGAAGCTGCTCGAGGTCATGCAGCTTGTGAGCGGAGAGGCCGGTGCTGATCCCAGTGTGCCCCTGTGATCCCAGTCTGGACGCCCAGTCCCTGCAGTGGCAACAAGGCACACCCTGACCCTGGGATCACTTTTCATGGAGAGGACAGGAGACACCAGGATGTGGACACTTGCTTTGAAGTCACAGAGCCAGGCACTGGGAGACCGCATCTCCGCCCCCGTGGGGACGAGCAGGTGGGGAGCTGTGGTTAGACTCGGACCTGAAAGAGAGGAAGGCGCCTGTACAAGGTGCGGGCAGAGGAGCTTCGGGTGAAGAGGTGTGCATGACTCAGCACTCGGCCATCCTGGATCAGGGCCCAGGCCCGCCAGGAAAGCTGCAGGGATGGGTGATGAAATTCAAGTGTGGATTGTGGGCTGGATAAGGGCATTCTCTTTATGTTGAATTTCCTGATTTTGATCATTATACTGCTTGTATAAGAGAATTTTTTTTTTTTTTTGAGACAGTGTCTCACTCTGTAGCTCAGGCTGGAGTGATCCTCCCACTTCAGCCTCCCGAGTCCTGGGACCACAGGCAGGTGCTGCCACGCCCAGCTCATTTTTCTGTGTTTTTGTAGAGATGGGGTCTCGCCATGTTGCCCAGCCTGGTCTTGAACTCCTGGCCTCAAGCAATTCTCCTGCCTTAGCATTGGGAATTACAAGCATGAGCCACAACACCCAGCTGAGAATATATATATACACACACACACACACACACACATATATATATTTTAATAAAAAATATTTTCTTTCTTTAGAGAGCAAGAAATCATCGGCTGAGAATATCTTAATTCTTAGGAAATATGCACCGAAGTCTCGAGGGCCACAGAGCCTTCGAATCCCTCTCAAATGATACAGAAAAGATATGAAAAGAGAAAGAAAAAGAGAATGGCCAGATGCAGTGGCTCATGCCTATAATCCCAGTCGGGCGTGGTGGTGTGCACCTGTAGTCTCAGCTACTTGGGAGGCTGAGGTGGGAGGATTGCTTTAGCCCAGGAGGCAGAGTTTGCAGTGAGCTGTAATTTGCCACAGCACTCCAGCCTGGGGGAAGGAGCCAGACCTTGTCTCAAAAACAAAAACAAAAACAAAGGAAAGAAAGAGTGAAAGAACTCCCTCCTCCCCCTCCTGCTCTCCTTCTCCTTCCTTTCTTCTTCCTCTCTCTCATCTTCATGTTATTCCTCTTCCTCCTCCTCCTCCCCTTTTTTTTTTTTTTTTTTTTTGAGACAGGCTCTTGCTCTATCGCCCAGGTTGGAGTGCTGTGGCGGGTCATGGCTCGCTGCAGCCTTGACCTCCCAGACCCAAGCGATCCTCCCACCTCAGCCTCCAGAGTCGTTGAGATGCCAGGTGTGCACCACTATGCTTGGCTAATTTCTTTATTATTTGTAGAGACCAAGTCTTCCTATGTTGCCCAGGCTGGTCTTGAACTCTTTTGCTCAAGTGATCCTCTGGTCCTGGCCTCCCAAAAGTGCTGGGATTACAAGCATGAACCACCGTACCCGGTCTCCTTCTTCATTTTTGTCTAGCACCATGCCTGGCATATAGTAGATACTCAATAAAATCTCTGTTGGATGACTGAGTTTAGGCTGAGGGAGAGGGAGAAGAGGGAGGCAGGGAAGGAGGGAGCAGGAATGTCTGGGTCCTTCTTAGGCTCTCATTTGAGTGTCGTCATCCATTCTCCTGATGGTAACTTTTCACCGCCAGAATGGTGACTCCTAAATCCACACCTCCAGGTTGGCCATGCCAAACCTATATTTAGAATTATTTGGCAGAGGGCACATCCTTCATACCCCACCATTATCAGTGGGTTCAGTGACCCAAACTTACCCTTCCTCTTTCTTCCCAGCCAACCCTATTTTGCCCAGGTCCCTCACCATTCCTGCAGGCTCCCAGAAACCTCTAGAAACGAGGATTCCTGCAGTGGCCTCCTGCGGGGGCAATGTGAACCCCCATCCACGGTCCTTAGATTTGCAGACATTTACAGCCAGTCTCATTTTCCTGTTACATGCTGCTCTCCTGCTACTTAAGAATATATTCCCATTCATCACTCTCTCCTTTCTGATTTTTTCTCACAAGTCCATTTATTTGTTTATTTATTTATTTAGTTTTTGAGACAGAGTCTCGCTCTGGAGTGCAGTGGTGAGATCTCAACTCACTGCAACCTCCGTCTCTCGGGTTCAAGTGATTCTCCTGCCTCGGTCTCCCGAGTAGCTGGGATTATAGGTGTGCGCCTCCATACCCAGCTAATTTTTGTATTTTTAGTAGAGACGGATTTCACCACG